ATGTTAAATCGAGTAATTTTGGGCACCCGACAGAATATTTCTAGCTATGTATGACAGCACTGACCCACGTGGTAACTCTCAAGTAACCAATCGTCACATTACTAGTCTGTTTTTTCCGATACTCCGTTAATACTGAGGCAATCCTACTCTCTTCAGTAGATTATTTCAAGTATAGAATGACGGATCATCTACTTTCTCCTGGTGTAGTGAGTGAGTATATACATACATAAAACAAGAAGTGTTTGTGCTCATCAGCCCTACCTTCATGTTTCTAAATATGTCGGAATTTCGTATCACCGACATATCTTATCTCAACCCACGCTAATGAATTGTTCATTGTTTCGACGTCTTGCACGTTTTTGAAGCTCTTTAATTCGAGTTCAACAATCTTGAGGAATCTATATAATGCTCCGTAAGATTGTCCAGTACTTCAAGGTATCTAGTCGGAGTCATTTACAGAAAGCCAACTGCCGACATCGAGTACGATAGTCGTATGCTGGAAGGACTATCCCGCTCTACTCGTCTCGGTTTCACACACATCCTGATTACAGAGGACTTTAATCTCCCCAGAGTCAGCTTCGCGGAACACACGTACACTTGAGGCGACAACTCAATTGAAGCTCGGTTCTTCAACCTCATCGATGACTTGGGATTGCACGAAAATGTGAGGTCGGCAACTCTTTGGAGAAACAGTCAGACACCATCGTGCTTAGACTGTGTATTCACGAACGAAGAATTTCTAGTTGACAACCTCTCAATCCTGGCTTCCCTGGGGAAAAGCGATCATGTCGTCATAGCCTTCGGTTTTGTCAGCAAAATCAAGCCAACATACCCCACCAATAACTTTCGTTGGAATTTTAAACGGTTGAATGTGCCAGCTCTACACGACTACCGACAACAGGTGATTTGGGATGTTCACCCTCAACTCGATGTGGACAGTCATTGGGACTTCTTACTGCACGCGCTCTTGCGTGTTACAAACCATTCAGTTCCTCAAACGGTTCCCAAAAGCTGCAAGACACCTACAATAATCAAGAACCGTACCCTTCGCCTGCTAAGCTGAAAAAGGCACTGTTGGGCGGAATACAAACGAACTGACAACGACGGAGCGTACAGCCAATATATACATATCAGGAACATATGCACGAAGGCTATAAGAGAAGATAGGCTTCAGTACCGGACGAAGCTCATGGAAAAATTTGCCTCTAATCCTAAAAGCATATTCCGTTAGGCAGCCTCTCTTCATCAAGCTAAAACTGGAGTTTCCCAACTGGTAGGTCTTAACGGCCCGAACCAACAACGATGGCGACGCTGCTAACCTTCTGGCTAAACATTACTCCCAGACATTTCAACCGACCGACATTAAGTTTACTGATGACAGCTTCGTTTGCAATTACACAGGACTTTCGGAAGTGAACCTAAGCGCAGGCTTGGTGTTCCGGAAACTGCAGCACTTAAGATTAGACACTTCTCCTGGCCCGGACATGGTCCATTCCGCTATACTGAGGGAAGCAGCCTCAATCTTGGCAGTGCCGCTTAGCGTGATGTTTTCACACTCTCTTAGCCGAGGCAAATTACCGGAAATTTGGAAGTTGACTCACATCACACCAATTTTCAAAGGTGGTCGACGCAATGAACCTTCAAGTTATCGGCCGGTGGCTCTTCTGTCATTACCTTCAAAACTCATGGAGTCCCTGATATGCGACGGTTTAAATGACTATCTACTGTCCTTAAATTTCTTCTCACCCCAACAGCATGGTTTCAGGAAGGGTCACTCTTGTATTACTAACCTGCTGACTGCGGTGAACAGATGGACAAGCATTCTTGATCACAAGGGGAAGGTTGATATCATCTACCTAGATTTCTCAAAAGCTTTTGATAAGGTTAACCATATATGTCTTATCAATAAGTCCAAACGATTGGGTATCAGACCACCTCTAATCGATTGGCCCACGCCATACCTGAAAAATCGACATTTTAAGGTCAGGGTTAATTTCACTTTATCTCAGGCTATGGAATGTCCTAGTGGGGTGCCCCAGGGCTCAGTACTAGGGCCTCTTCTCTTCTTGATCTACATAAATGTTCTTCCTCAACAGTTAACGTCAGACTTATTACTTTTTGCCGACGACGTGAAACTTTGGAGAGAGATACGCAACCAAGACGATATACATGCACTTCAGGAGGATCAGACTGGACTTCAAAGTTGTGCAGACGATAACGGATTTACCTTTAACACTTCAAAGTGTAAAGTAGTCCATCTGCGACATGTCGCAGACTACAGTTATAACTTAGGAAACTCCTCTCTAGTAGTATCCCAAGTCGAAAAAGATTTAGAAGTCTTGGTGCCCTACGATTTAAAGTCTTACGCTAACTGTGACGAAAATGCCTTCCGAGCAAACCTTGCACTGATAACATTGAAGCGCATTTTTGGTCAGTTTGACGGATGAACTTCCATATAATCTTCAATAGTTTTATCCGTCCCCATTTAGAGTATGGAAACATAGTATTTCCCCCCTCATTCCAAAAGGACAAGGTCACTTTGGAGCGTATCCAACGGCGAGCCACGAAATCAGTTCGAGGACTCAAATCTAAACCTTACGAAGAGCGCCTCCATTCACTTAACCTTTACCCACTAGAATATAGGCGTCTTAGGGGTGATTTACTAATGGCTTATGGTATTCTTAACACTTCTGGACATCCTCTTAAACACCTACTTAAGCTTAGTTCCAACACTAACCTAAGAGGTAACACCCAAAAACTGGAGACACGACATAGCAGAACGGACTGTAGACATAACTTCTACTCCTTAACAGTGGTCAAATGCTGGAATTCGCTGCCGGCCGAGCTAGTCCAAGTAACTTCCCATGAGTCCTTTAAGAGGCAACCTGATCTATTCTTAAGGACTAAGGATAGTATCACACTATGATTTACTAATTTCTTTCCCTCTTTTATTGTTAACATGCCTAGGTTCCTGCCTGGAGGATTTGGTGATCCCCTGCTACTTGGCACAGAAGTCTGTAAAGCGAAAGCTTCTTCTATTCCGTTCACAACCATTTGATCTTATTGGGTGTTTTCTTAGCTCATTATAAACAGGACAGATACATTGGTTAAAATGATTTATCGTTGACTTCTCTAGTTCGAACGTTACTTCCCTGAGAGGACTTTGAGACAAAACAGAAATAAGAGATGCTCGGTTTTTAAGACCGACTGCGTATGACAGAACATTCTGACTAGATACTTCACCAAATCTTTGAGCCTTAAAACCCGCCGATATTTCGGAACGATATTGGTCTTTAAAGTAGTTGTGTTGGAGATATTGGAGAAACGAATTCTGACATGAAATTTCTAGTGAGAACAGGAATAGCGCTCAGTATCCCTCCACAGAAGAAAATGTGCCTGAAGTTGCAAATTTACCTTGCCACTCTTAAAACCATCAGAAAGTAAAAGTTGCGAAGTCAGGTGACGAGACTTGATCTTGGATTTGGAAGATAAGTACTTCTGGTGTTCTCTATTGCAGAGTTATTTTTTGAGGCTTTCTGAATCAAGATTTTAGAAAGATAAAGGTATTTGCTTAATCTTAAGTAACGTCAGTTGATGCCTTGAGACATCGTCACATTAGTCGATCACACTGCCTTATATTATTGACGAAAGTATCATTTGTTGGTTTTACTCTCTGAATGTCAAGTATTTTCCACAGTTCAGTGGCTTTGTGAACTTAAAGGCGTGTGGTTGATTTTCGACATTTTGTTTTTTGCTGTCGACCAAATTAGTCTCAAGATACGGCTACGATACCTAGCCGAACACCCTTGGTTAGTAGTGTAAGTCAGAACTAACAAGGTTAGAATAAATGTCGAGTGGTATTGGTTCTGTTTATTTTGGGGAATTACTTAACAATGCAGGTTTTACTTAGGTTCAAAAGTTTATGCGGTAGTTATTCAGACCAAATTTGGTGGAACACATCTTCACCAATCTAGTGTCGCCCAACCAATGCTTTCATGGGTTTCATGAGACGGTCTCTCGTCACTTAAGTTATTGACGGTCAGTGTCTGTTATAAAGATTGCTCTTCTAAAAACTAAGTGTACAGTAAGACTTGAAAACTTGGAAACTCCCAATTTTGTTATGATATCTGCCCACGAAGTACTAATCACGTGTGTGTGATGTGAAGCCATTGATTGAATGTCACATGTCGAGAAAATGTTCAACCCGTTGGAAATTTTTGTATGGGTAGTCTTAGCATCGAAAAGGAATATAATAATAAGAGTAGTAGGTCTTCAGGTTGTGAAATATCTAGTGATGGCGTACTAGGGGTTTATTGAGTTCCGTTGTACATATTATCAACTAATATATTTGCAGGAACGTATAATGATAAATATTTGGATAAATTTCAGTCATCGAGTATGAAAGTTGTAAATCGGGGCCAGCTAGTAATTCTGAAGCAGATGAAATGACGAAAAATGGAAAGAATAATGTGGTGAACATAAACACATCTACCTTGATAAGAAGACATGCAGATCCACAATTAACTACCATCCTGACTAGAATTAGTGTTATTGAGTGTGCAGACCACCACGCACTGAATACTAAAGACGCCTTCAGCCGTACAGAAACGACAGGAAGCGAGAGCAAACTGATTGTTCAGTTTATACAAGCTCGTCATAAAGATATTGAATATTGGCAACACACATTTGCATCCAAAATATACAAGTTGAATTAGGAAAGCACGGAAGAACTGTCAAAATGAAAAGATCGAGGTCTAGAAGGAAATTAGGGGAGAAGGTGGGTTCAAGCGAGAACCATTATGGAATTGGGCTGGCACTAGAAAAACATGATTTCAAACAAAATAATTTGCACCCATTAATTTAAGTTGGCCCTTCTGGATAAGGTTCAAGGGTTGGGATAATTCACAAAATCTGCTCAACCTTTGTCTATTTTTCAGAAGATGACCTTTTGAGGTTTATGTATTTTTTCATAAGCTTAAATGTCACTATAAATGTTTTGGTGGATATTAGCCTATATTTACTGATATTAACCAAATAAAGACATTCAGTAATTTATGTTTCAATTCCCCGCGGGCCACATCGATTTCCGTCGAAAATGGCGCACCCTGCAAAACGGTCAAGGTATGATGTTCTTGCCGCAGCTACCGCTCAGTTCTACAACACTACAGGGACAGTACCGGGAAGCCTTCACCTGGCAACTGATATCTCCTACCTAGTTACTAATCAACCAAGTTGCACTATTGTCGTTGCAGACATCCCGGAAGGTTGTACAGAAAGGGATTTAATTGGTCTTTTCAGCAGATACGGGCAGATTAAAAATGCCAAGTTGGTATGCAGTGGTCGAGCTGCTCTTGTCGAGTTTTGTGAAATTTCTCCTCCCACTAGACTTGTCCACATGGCGAAAATCAACCCTTTTTGTGTCGGTCCGAATCGCGTTAGGCTGGAATTTTCTTCCGAAACAATTACTCCTGTAATTGACCGCAAACATCAATCACAGTCTTCAGCCTTGGACAACAATGCCCCTACACGCATCCTTCATTTAGATATTTCAAATGCTGAATACCCAATAACTGTCGATGTAATAAAGGCAATCTGTTCTCCTCATGGGAATATCCTAAGAACCTTTATTGGGAAAAAGAATGTTGACCGTTCATTAGAAGCTCTTGTTGAATTTGAAAATGTTGAAGAGGCTAGGGCAGCCAAAGAGCAGCTTGATGGTGCTGACATATATTCCGGTTGTTGTAATCTTACGGTTGCATATTCCCGTCTTCAACGTGTTCATGTGACTCAGAACGATAGTGAGTCCTGGGATTTCACTGGTCCAAGTGGCAATTTAGAAGGACCCCTGAACAATTCTTCCACTCAGCGTACGCTACTTGGCTCAGTAGCTCCACCTCCCAATTCAGCCGTAGCTCCTGCAATCTTACCACCTCCTGCAGCCGCCCCATTCCCACAAGTGTCTCCGGTGTATGGCGCACAACCCTACCCTCCCTCCCAAACACCGATGGGTTACTATGGAGTGGGTCCACTTATTCCTCCGGCTTGCGCTGTCCCTGCCGTGACACCGTTTGCCTCTCCCTATCCAGGTTACTGGCAACCTAATATGATCCCGGCAGCTGGTATCCAGTCACTCAGGCCACAAGCTTCGACTGGTTTCACACCACCATCACAAATCATAATACTTCCAACCCCTCCTTCAGTTCATCAAGTAAATGCTAGCGGAATTGGGATTGGTCATTCAACATCAAACCTATCTGTATCAACTCCGGCTGCTCGTCAATCGGACTTGTCAGTTTTTGAAGCTATTGAAGGTGTAGTTTTAATGGCCAGCAATATACCACAGCGCATGAATTGTGATCATCTGTTCAATTTAATTTGTCTGTATGGTAATGTTGCACGGATTAAGTTCCTGAAGACACGCCCTGGCTATGCAATGGTTCAAGTCGGAAACCCAGAAACAGGTGACCTCATACATCGATACTTCAGTGGAGTGTGTGTGTTTGGGCAAGTTATTCAGTTTCATCACAGCAAGGTGACGGAGCTTAAGGAACATGAAAATCTGGGGACATTGGCTGATGGGTCACCAGTTATGAAAAACTACATGAGTGAGTTTTTGCTGTACCTTAGAGTGTTCCATATATTAGCGTTGTGTTTGATTGGAGGGGCTAGTTTTTAATGCTATCCAACATTTTTTATTCTACTTTCCATATATTTATATTCATAGTTACGAAGATTCCTGCCAAACCTCTTAAATATAAACAACTTCCATTTCCATAGTTGCAAAGACTCGTGCACATCAAATCTCTATAATTTATTTTAGATGAAGCTTTTTACCGTTCCAGTCTATGGTCTAAGCGTGGCATTGTAGCAATTGTCTGCATGGACTTTATTATTAGCGAAGTTAATCATCGATTGTTAAGTTTATAACTTACTGACTGACCTATGTGTAGGCTTGTTCTCATCGCAATTTCCTTCTTACGACGAACTCATTGTATCTCACAAATTTGTGATGACAAGGATCAGTAGGTCTTCATTGACTGTTCTCGCATTTAATAGAACTATCAATTCGGTCTCAATGTCTACTTAACCAACCATAACAATAATTTTAAGTCAGTTCGCACTAGTCTCCTGAAAACTAGTTAATATATGCTACATCTGTTACTTGGCATTGATATTTGAAGACAAACTACTAACAAACGTACATTGATCTTCAAAGACATCAACTGAGATGAGCCATGTACTTGTTTTCAGATTGCTCGGATGAGGTCCACGCAATTAGATACTAGGTTCATTGATTCCCTGTTAATTCTTCACACATCACAAATGTATACTTTCTCGAATTTGATCTATGATGTCTGATCTTTTGATACTATTAGTACTTTTATCACCATTGTTATTCTGGGACTGGCTCGCTGTGCTAATGGGTTATAGGATTCAAACCTATGTACACATGCATCATGTCCTATATTGCTTATGACTGCGAAGATATCGAAACATAGTGTTGATCTTCAGGAGGCCGACAATTCAATTTTAGCCCTTGTGTACTTTGACAGTGCAAGTATCGTTTATTTGAGCTTCCTGAGTCTGAATGTTTTGTAACTCCTTTGTGCCTAACCAGTCAGACAAGTTTAATTGTCCCCAGTTGTCATTTTATGATGCACGAGTATACCGAGGAGCAAATATTTTTTCTACTTGTCCCGTTGTATAAGCTCCAACTTGACCGGCTTCAGTTTTGATTCAGAAAAAAATTTAGATTTTCTGTAAATTTTTTGCCGTACAGGCTTTTTGGTTTCTCTTGCACTAAGTTTAATGGACTTTCTTTTACGTTATAGCGGACCCCAACAACCGCTTCCGAAACTCAATGGTGGCTGCCAAAAGTAGAATTCTAGAACCTTCTCGCACACTTCATTTCTTCAATGCCCCCCTTAATTTTAGTCCAGATGACATTTGCCGAGTGTTCTCGGATTGTGGTGCCACACCTCCACCCCGTGTTGTAATATTCACTTCTAAAGCAGGTCAAAAAACTTCTCTTGGTAAGTTCTGATAATGATTAACTGAACATATAGTATATTTATCCCTATTGACCAGTTGTTTATCAATAATCCTGAACACAAGCTTAGTCATAAATGTTTTTTTCAATGTAGTGGTTAGATTGCTATGTGCATGATTGAACGTTTAACTTATGTTATAAATATTACGACTTATACTGATTACACTTGTACACAACACTACTACCCGTTAGTCAGCTCTAAAATAAGTAGTGCTTTGCTGATCCTCAGGATAATAATTGTTTCCAAAACGCTAAGTTTGTTATGTTCTTTTGTTCCCATGAGGAGCTGAAAATTCACTGATCTGTGCTTGATAACGGAATCCCGTCAGAATCTTCATACTTTGTCCAGTGCGTCGCACATTTCATCAGCACTATGAATTGTATCAGTCTCTTGTTCAATTCCAAAAAATGTCCCATTTGCGTTTAGTTCACTAAGAGGTTAGACACTAGTTTGTAGCCTTTGGTTGCTGAAAAGAAAGAATATAAGCAGTATGAAGTTAATTTTTCAGTGTATGTAATGTATAACTGTGCATCAGCTTCGTAAGGTATGCTAAATGCGACTGCAAATACCTAACATTCCAATATTTTGTTACATATAACTATGGAGACTACTTATTTCGGATGGTAGTTTTCAGTGATTATTTTGACATGAAAATCCTTGTTATGGTCTTTGGCATATTGGTGAGTGCCATGTATATATTGGTCCCAAGTTTGACGAAATATGTCGACCTCATAAAGGGGATTGACTACCAACTTTTTGACCAAGGGTCGATGAAAGGTTACTAACTTTGAAGGTGCAAGGAAAAGATAACTAGACGTTCGCTTGAAGCTTAAAGTAAAATTGATCAGTTTGGGCACCAAGTAACTCAGTGAGAATAATTGGAAAATAGACAAATCAATGTGAAAATATTGTAGGGCCTTTCCACCAACCCATAAGTATCTCTACTTTAAGTAGTAGTATTCCCACTCAACTAAGTAGAAGCCTATAGGCTCGTCGGAGAAAAGGGCCTTGCGAAGAGTGCGCGACTGGAAAGTAAATGGACGCGTTTAAGGTTCATGGTACGTGTAATTAGGAAAAATCGATATCTACGGTGAGGCGGACGCATTAGAGCATACACTATGAAGTGCAGACGGACGCATCATAATCTACACATTCTTATCACTTTCGAAGACTTCGAACTTAATTATTTACTTAAACACCGATATTGGTACAAGAAGGCACCAAATATATACACGCCACATAATTCACTCAATTTATGTGAAGGCTGTCATCAGTAAGAGTATAGGATATTCGTAGCTTACTAGTATTTGATCATAGGTTTCTTCGAAACATTGCTCGTATATCTTGGGACCACCGGATAAGTAACACAGTTGTTAGGAAACGGGTACCAGGTAAAGAAGGCAAATCAACTGATGAAGTGGTGAAACTTCATCAGTTGAAATGACTGGGACACGTGTTACGTATGCCCAACCACCGACTGCCCCGAAGTGCGATGTTTTATGGTGCAGGAGCAGGTTGGAAGAAAGACCAAAACATGGCACAAATCCTTGAAGTCACTGATAAGTGAACTGAGCCATGTTGGTAGGTGTAGACTATCTGGTTTGGATCCGCGAGATGGAAGCAACCGATGGTTAGAGACCCTGAATGACATGGCTCAAAATTGTTTGCAATGGCGCAGGTACATCCACTCTTTGTGTTCTCCCGAATTCTAATCTTCCGAACTCTATGTCCCTGTTTCCCTCTTTCCAAATTTCACTGGATTATACTCCTTGAATAACATCTTCAAACCCTAATGTTTCCGATTACTGCTTAAACTCGTACTACCTCTACCACTACGGGATTTAAATCGACAACTGCATCTTTGTGCTAATGCGGCATGGCAACTCGAACTGATGTATGTGCGTACGAAGTTCTACGTTGTTACTGTTTGACTGACTGACGTGAAGGCTGAGATACTACCTATGTGCCAAAACCGAGTCAGGTGGTTTTACTAAGGGGTTACACCGCGAGCCTTTGACCTAGAGGTCTAATTCACATGGTAGTGGATCAACGTTAGGCAATATAGTCCCATGGTATCCGGTTACCAACAATAGGTTCGTACTACATTCGTTCCCTCAGGATCCTGGATCCCGTGTAACCATTGGTTTGGAATCAGGGTTTTCCAAATACCTTAGGTAGATTTTCGGAATCCACCAACCCGATTAAAGCGACAGACATTCGCGTTTTGTCCTCTCAATTTCGTAAAGAACATTAATACCACGAGAAGGCAGTGAGTAGAACTTCCCTTGTAGTGGTTGTTTGCACGTGGACATGTGAGAGCATTTCATGATGGAGAGCTGACTCTACCCTCGACCATATTAGGACATTTGAGGGCTCAAACTTCGAAAAGCGTTGTGAGCTATAATGAACACACCAGTATAGAACGTAAAACCGCCGCAAGTATGCATTACATGTATATTCGGAATGCACAGATAGAAACCTGTACATTCCATAGTATACACATACGTATAGATGCGATCACCCCAGACCAAGAATGGTTGTATGCCTAATGTAGTGCAGTATCTAGTTTTCGTAGCCTATATGTGTACTTTCATTGGTCTTGTACATAGTCGAACTTTTGTGAATTACCCAAAAGTTAATAAATTAGGGGTATTAAAAACGTGTCTAGTTATTGTCGTGCTTGTTTGCGTATGTGTTACTGAATAATAACCATATTTGACAAGATTCTATAAATCAGTGTAAATGGAAAACAAGTTAACATTCGATTATATGAATAGTAGTTTATTTGTCTCTACATCTACTTGACTCCCTCATATTTGTATTGAATTCCTGTTTTTGTACATTAAAGTGTTCTCTTCAGGTGATTTCCGACGAGAAACGTCAATCAGTTAGTCAGTGTGTAAAACCATTAAGTCCAAACTTTATTATAAATATCCAATGTGAAAAATGACTGAATGTAAGTTTAAGTTTTTATTTCTCTTGGACAGGATTGGTAGAATGGGATACGTTGACTGAGGCTCTTGAGGCCCTCATTTTGGCAAATCACCGGCCAGTTCACTTATCTGGATACGCTCATCCTTTTCATCTAAAAATTGCCTTTAGTCCGAAACCTATATCAGATGACAGAGCTGGCATTTCGCTGATACGTTATCCTGCACCTCCTTTGATGCCCGGACACCATGGATCGTTGGCGATAAATGGTCAGCGAAATGACAAGGCTCCTGGTGGCGGTTCTAATGGGGAACAAGAGGATGAATTAGATATTCTGTCGAAAATGGAGAAAGCCGAAGGTTGTGCAAAGCCTGAATCAAAGGGTGACTCAGCGGATGCTAAATCTGATTCAACTAAATTTCCAGAAGATGAATCCAATGGTGCACCAAATTCGTCGGGAGTGACCGGAAACGAAACTTAGACGTGCGATAGCGAACTCATATATTTCAGTATATTTAACACCCGCGTTTCATTATGCTTAGCTTATTAATGGCCACTTGCAAATGAGTATGTCGTTATTCTGTGTGTTTTTTTCATGCATATATATGTCATGTAGATGATTATCTCATCATGGTCACAACTATCATGTTTATTATGTTTGTAATAGATCCTAATATTTTTATGTGGCAGTAGCCTTACATATTTTATAAAGTTAAATAATAAATAATTTGTTCGTTTTGCTCTTTCCAATGCTTAGCATATGGTATATTTATGTTGTATTTCTATTTGAGGAATCAGGTCCCATTAAGTTGTATTGATGGTATCATGTCTCCCGATCATTAAATTCATTAATCCATTCATGTCTAATTATGAAGTTAACCACTTTAAAGCTTTACTTTTTATGTGCTTATATAATCACTCATGTTTATTTTAGTCATTGTTTTATTGGCATAAAACATATCCTAAACGAAATATTAATTTGTTCTACGAAACCCTAAGACATTTTACTATATAAAACAAATGTTTTGATATATATATACATATATATTATGTGCCTTTATTTATTTTATGTCTGGTTAGGCTAGTTAGGCTCATGATTTGTGCAATATTATAGGTTGTTATTATTATGCCGTTTATGTAGACCCTCGTTTGTAGTTGATTTGGTTAATTTCATCGTATGTCCCCCCCAGATAATATAAAGGGTTGCATTGTGATTACCCACATTACTTTGGCAATACTATAAACATAATTCAATTATTGCGTTCTATGGTTGCCAGTTTCAGAATCTCATGGTAAATGACATTTGAAAACTGATATTGATCTCCATGTTGTAATTTCTTTTATTGTGAAATATTTCTGATTTACATCAAAAAAGAAATTCAAGTAATAAATTATTCCTTACTTGCATTTACACATAAATGGATTCGGGTGGTTAATCTTAAGTATGAAATCCGTTTCAAGTGCAATCTCCGAGTAGTTTAATGCCATTATATGTGGAATGATTAACACGTGGTGGGGTTGTTACGCGTAGAAGAATGTATTGTTATTTCTCGTATTCATCAATTATGAGACCTGTGACACATCCGTTACTTAGAAAACGCAGCAACATGATGGAATGCTTTCCTCGTATGTGAGAATTCACCACGTCGTGGTAGTGTGCCCGGAATTTCTGGTGTTGATAGTGATTATAAAACGTTCTGAGCGCACAAGTAAGGTTAATCTATGTATGCTAGAAGCCAGAGCGACTTGTACTAATCTGGGGTTATCTGTGGTGTCGTCGTGCTATTAGTTCAGCTGTAAAATCTATTCCCATTCATAAGGACGCGAGCAAGAGGGAGACCATCGGAAATACCCATATTAATTAAGGGGAGCAACAAAAGGAGAGGGGTGTGGAATTTTGTCAGTTTGCCGTTTTTCATTTTGGATATCAAATGTGGCCGTAAAATTCCGAGTAAACAGCACATCAATAAAAGGTATTGTACTACCTGTTTAAGAAAACTGCCATCCGAGATCAGAATGTCGAGTGACTATGGTTAATCATCTGTCTGCGAAAGGTTGTTCACACTTAATAGTAACTGCGTCTGCTTAGTGTTAAGACACTGGATAATCCAATTAATGTCACAATCTTAAAACACTGGATTCTGGGCTTAATACATGTCAATCGATCCTATCAGAAATATTTCTGATGAAAATTAAAAGTATTAGTTTGTTAATTCAGCTTTTATCTACACTAATATATGGTACTTTGCCCGTTTGTTTAAGAAAAACAAGAAGAAAAGTCTACCTGAGTAACTGGCGTTTTTTCCGTTCTCAACGTATTTAACACAAGTACTGTGTTAACACAATATAAGTTGACCTGACAATGTGATGCGCTGGTAGCCAGATTTATTCATGGGATTTCTACTGGTACGCAGCAGACTAATGCCCAAATTAACCATGTATCAGTTTGAAATAATTTTAGGTTACTATGGCCACGAAACTCTTCAGTAGGCTTCGACTATCGTAAGCAATCGTTCGTTTTATGGTCAGCCGCTGAAAGATGCGATAATATGAAATAAAGTATTGATATAGATAACATATTTAAGCATGGAGAAAATGCTCCGTGATAAAAGCCTATGGTAAATCAGTGTCGAGTTTCGTGTAGTCCAGTTTCTGAGTAGTGACGCTGCCACCAGTTAGTAGTAGTCAAAGTTCAGTCAACAACAACGCAGAACATCGTGCGTGCGTACATCGTTTATGTTATTTGTATTTTGATAGAGTTTTATTCTCTGAACTGGATGGTTTAGTCGTGGAGCTTTCATCGTTCTTCTGAACGACATCATCAGCACAAACTTCAGTTAGAAGTGAAGCGTTCGAATTTCTTCACACGTGTTTCACAGCTTGTCCTGTACACCTCAATGTTGATTGGTTCTTGTTGACCTTAACTTTGTCATTGTTTACTTCTTTTTTTGGTTGTCTCCCAGTGTTTTGGTTTTTGTCCCTATGTTTTCCTGATTGGTTGATAAATTGGGTCGATTTCAATGTACTTGTTGATTGCTGATTGACCTGAGTGCCAGGCTTCTAAAAATTATCTGGTGTTTTTGGAATTTCCTCCATCCAAGATTTCCACATTTTTCCAGTCAAATTAGTGTCTGCAGTTGTCCACGTGTATTGATATAATTAAGGAAATGTCGTGGCGTTTGACTGCTAATCGATGTTCATGTAGGCGTAGGTGGAGGGGGCGTCCGCTTTATCCGATGTAGTGTTTTTCGCAGTTGGCACAATTTATTTTGTAGATGATGTTTGGTTTGTCTTCTTTTGTCATTTCATCCTCTGGTTAGCATCCTATGCACCGTCCCAATTTTAGCATGATTGTGAGAAGTAGGGTTCACAATACGTCGGCGAGAGTAATTTTGTTCTGTGCTGGTGATGCTTGGTGACTTCAGTCGTCGCCAAAGTACTGTTGCCATCCAGTGGCAACGCTTTGTTAGTAACGCCGAAGTTCGACCATGTGTGTTTGGGGGATCGCTGATAATCTGATTGACCTCACGATTTTTGAAACACCGGTTTCGGTGGCCTAGATATGGTTTACGGACTTGAACCCAGCGGCTTCGACTTCATGCATTATTTGTCCTGCGGAACTTGTTTGTTCAATAATAGTTTATTGAATACTAATTTTCTCATTCATCCCATGCGGTTGGTCATATGTAGCTGTTTAAAAAATTTCGCTATGTATTGTGACTTACAAGTATTCTAATGGATGGCAAATGCAGTTGTTACGTAACTTCGTACCTCTACCAAGTGAGTGGTTTCTGCTAAATCATCAACATTATGTTAATTACCAATGATCACATGGAGGTATACGTCCAGCAATTCGGCTGAATGACTTCCAGCGTATGGGATCAAATAGTCTTAGTAATTGTTCACTAAAAAGCTGAAAGGTAGGGGTTTCATACGATTTTCCCAGATTATGAATGGGAAAAATAGGAAAAAAGATCGTAGCAGAATAATATCAAGTCAGTTATTCCTTAAATCTCCCTCAGCTGCTTACAACCTTGAGACCATTTTATTAATTACTGGAAAAATGAGTAGCCCGTTGTTCTCCCATTATTCAAATCTATACATGGAAGGATTGTATGAAATTCTCAAAGAAACGTCTTCCCGTCAATTCGGTTCGTAAGTGACCATAGGACGTAGCTTACCGTTGTTAATGTTTCTGAATGCATGATTCATATTTCAGGTAATTTCTGCAGGGTGGTTACATTTTTGGTTTAGTCCTTAGGTTTGGCCACCATACGACTAACTCCGTTAAATAAGTTATTAATCTAGATAACTAGTCTTACGGAAATTACTATAGCGTCTTGAGCAGACTAAATTATTCAATTTTTCGCACTATTGACAATTGAGTCAAATTCATCATGATCTAATTTATTTAGTCCATCTAATTCATTGTGATACAGATTTGTGGCTTAGATAAATGGGTTAGACGGTATTATGATCCCTAGATGTTTCAATCGCTTAATGCTCATTGTAGTTTTGGACATCATCAGTTGCTTATCTGATTTCTACACTTTCAAATAAAGAAACAACCTGAATTGTAACAGGACAACGTGTTGTGGATCCTCCTCAACTACTTACAACCTAAAAACATTGATAAAAATCATTCGAAAAAGAAATCTATATACATTATATCAGTAAAGGATTGAATAAAACTAAGTTTGACATGTAGATGTAGGATAATATAATATCATAATTATGATGATGAGAATCTGTTGAAATCCTGGTTTATTTCTAGGGTAAATACATGAATATTCTAGGAACAAAGATTAAAAAGAGAATTCCTATCGAAATCATTAATCCATGTAGTAAACTACTTAATAATTGATTAGAGAATTTGGATTAGTTGAGTAAAACTCTGTAATAATTCGTGGCCGCCGATTAGAGATCAGTGAATTATCGACCGGACCAAAGACGCATAAAACGCGCGAGCAGTCTAGAGTCCTTATCAGTCCTGCCTCGCCCAGTCATTTTAGTCCAGAACACAAATCTAAGCCTTTGTGATATGAATCATTTATTTCAAATATACGGGGTTTATATACCAACCAAACAGTACACATCGTACCAATAATATAGGAAACAACAGTTGTGGTTGTGAATGAGTGAGGTAGTAATTGATTGACAGGGCATAATTCAAGAATGTTAAGTGGTGTAATAATAGTTCATAGGTCAAAATAAAGCTCATACTAAGAGGGATATGAATAGTTTAGTTATTTAGCAATTATACGATAGAAATATATGTATAGTACTGGTCCATAATGGATCCCAACAGTTACCATTCATTATGCTTATTGGAGCCTAACAAGCTCAGAAGTAAGAAATTCGCATTTATAATTAATGTCATGGGGAAGAACTTATGTAACATTCTCTTGGAAATAAGGTTACTTGGTATAAAAAACGATTGATAATTATCTTTTAGATATAGAAACTTGGTTGAAATCTATTTATATAGTAACCACTTCTGTAATGGATAATAAATGTGATATATTTTTTGTTGATCGATTACTTAGAAGGATTCTGAAACATCAACATTATGTCCATCGTAAAGCAATTGTACTAATGTGCAATTTTGTTGATTTAATCGCAACTTTTGTGGAATGTGTTCGGAGTTTCGGATATAAAACTTACCTTCTGTTCTTCTGATGTTTGTGCTATAGTAAATGTGCGTAAATTAGTGGAGACAAGATAATGTGTGAATGCTTACAGTTCGATTGTTTCAGTTAGCGTTTTGTGTGGTATAGAAGGACCGTCTCGGAGGCTGGATACGCCCTTTTCATTATTGCCATTAATCTAAAATCAATTAATCTTCCCTGTTATTTTGTCACACTTGAAGTCAAGTTATAGGAAGACAGGATTTTCCTCAATAGTAGTATATTTCATTCCCTTTATCCTAGCCGTTTTATGCTTAGTCATGGGTTTTTGTGGATAACCTTTATCATTCAAGCAACGTTCGACTATGGTTAATCCCTCAATTCCATCCTCAGAAGATGCTATCCATAAATTACTGAAGCTATGATGCTTCAAGTATAGCCCACTTTACATGTCTCTTCAATAAGTATGCCTTTCCAAATGCCCACTCGGATTACTGGTAGTGTTGAAATCTAAAAAACGAAACATTTCATATTCCATCATAAATGCAATGTACAGACAGTGACGTATCCAGCTCACAAAGACTTTCGCGTCTTACCAGAAAATATGTCAGATGCATCAAATGATGGTCAGAAATCTAATACAATTTTGATAGATGCTAATTACCTTGATGATCGATTATCTACAAATGTGGTTCCCAATAAATTTGGTCACAATATTTCAGAAGAATCAAACTTCGATGATCTCATGTCAAGCATCGTTCAACCTCCCCATTCAGTCACTTTCAGTCGGTTCTCTGCTCAGTGTGACAAACATGTCTTAAATAAATTCAAATTAATTGTAACTTGGGCATATGAGGATCCAACACTGTTTCGTGGGAGAGGATGAACTCGGAAAAATTAAAATCCGGATTTTCGAAAAAGGGGAGGTGATATGATGGAAAGAAAAAAAAAATCAATTTTTGATTGATTTACTCATTATGAGTTTTGTTCGACATTACGTCCCTTCTAATTCACCGTGTGGATCATTCAGTGTAGTATTTGATTTGTTTTCCCAGTATGATATTTTCTTGTGTATAATAAGCGATATTCTTGTATTCACTTGACATGAACTATGCTCAGTAAGTGATTTGTTATAACTGAGTATGTGATTTAATCCTAATTATTAATCAAAATGGGTGTACAATCAATATATAGACCAGTGTAGTTTAGACGAGATTCGATTCGTCGTCGTTATAGTGTTTGGGGGCTAATAAATCTTCACTTATACCAGTCTTGTGTTCTTACCTTTGCATCGTGGGAATTGCCGAGGTCTCTCGTTCCGAGTATAAGTGATCAGCGCCTTTTTCCGGCACAACAATTGCGACGACCGAACATAACAGCTCTATCGAAAAGATCCAATGCACGAGAAACATGTTAATAATAATTACATGCAACACATATATCATTAATATTCCTGACATTCAACGTTATCATTAGTTGCTAATTTTATCATAGATCTAGATTACCCAGAATTGAACCAAAACGACTATCCATAACCATTTCACCAATTTGAGCTGCGAATCTCCATCACAATAACTTTTAGATGGACTGGTAAATTGGATCACCTCAAGCTTTGATCTAGAGGTCTAATATACAAGG